AGTAATTATTTAAAGAAAGACTCATGTAAGACTATACATCAGACAATTTTTAATAAAGCCTATAACACTGCAGGGGTGATGCAGTTCTTAGTGGATGCTGCTCCTTGAATGGGGTTCAAACTGCCATTCAAACTCCACGCTTAATCAATATGTAATGCAAATTCATCACTGACATTCAGAATATCAGTAATGAGTCTAGACCTATAGATATTAAGTGACTGAAGGCCCATCTGCAGTGCAGTGACGGAGTATGTGTGTGTGTGTGTGTAGGTGGCAGATTTGGAGGCTCATGGGGGTCAGGGCCCCAGTGACATGCTGAAGGATGAGCTCACCCAATCCCTAGAGGAACTGGAGGCTTTACTCAAGGCCAAAGATGAGGTAAGGAGAAAGAGTCGGGTCACTTTGTAGGAGCACAGCACAACACAGCATTAGGGCTGCAAACATAGTCACAGATATAAGGAGGGCAGTGGGATGTGTCCTCTTCAATGGTTGTAGGGAGATGAACTGTCCCCCTCAGTAATTTTAAAATGAAAATTTAGCTTGTACTACTCCCCTAAATTAAAAAGACTAATGCTGTAGCCTTGTTTCTTAGCAATAGCTAAGAAGCTAGTTTAATAGGCTTGGTACATTTATTTACTTCATTAAACCTGGAAAAAAGCTTCTACATCTAAAAGGGCACGTCTCTGTCTGAATGACATCTGCGTATGTCTAACTAGGGTTGTCAAGGGTCTGTTTATTAACCAGAGTCCGGTTTTGAGCTCCCTTGTCCAGTGCCTGGTTGGTACTGCTTACCGGACCAACCATGTCAGTGTCTTAAGACCTTAATATACAAGGGTAGACAGTTCTAACCACTAGTAACACTACAAAGCCCACCCTCCTCGGACACAATTTACTGTAAGCAACACAACTACACTAATAACAGCAACAACAGCAACAATGAGCGTCCTTCTTACCTGGGAGTGTAGCGCGTTCCGAGAGCCACTTTACATGGCTTCACCCTCACTGTGCCAATGCCACAACACATTAGATTATGCTTCACAGCATACTTTTCATGCTATATTCATACTATATGTATTTAAGTTGTTTAATACATCACTTATGTAGGTTCTAGATAGATCAACTGTTATTGTCATCCTGATACTTGCATCTGTCTTTTATCCATGAACTCCCATAATGGGAAAAAGTTTACACTGCAGTAAAGAAATGTGGCAAACATTTTGAAAAATTCCCCTTAAGTTTTGCTTATTGAATAACCCATTTCACAGCACATTCCTAATGTAACAAATCATTAATGCTAATAATTTGAATAAATTATAATTACTTAATAAATTATAAAACACTTGTCATGAGTAGTGCAGTGTGAACAGTGTGTCTGCTTCCAAAGTTGAAATAAAATGTATGCCCCGGTTGCAAATAACTGTTATTTCTATAACCAGTTAATCTGTTGATTATTACTTGATTAATCAGCTAATTACACCATTATGTCTTCTGCTGTTTCCTCTCACTTTGCATTGTGTGCTGCCAAGTTCCATTTAGCTGACCAGCGATTACTTCTTTCTTAGGCCAACCAAACAGTAGAAGCCTTATTGACCCCTGCACTAACGGTTGTGTATCGTAGTCTGACACAATGTAAATATCTATCATATGAACATTATAGAGCATGTAGAGAACTCTGATTGTTTCATTTATGTTATTGCAAACGGAGCTTGAATATCTTCCCATAATTTACGTTCTATTTACAAATCATTGTAGCTCTACTCCACATACAGTTTTCCTCCATTTATTGATGGTTAGAGCCAGTTCTAGTTCTCTGTTTCTGTTTCAGGAAATCCGCATTCTTCAAGCAAAGAAGTCCAACTTCCATGAAATGGAGCAGGAGAGAGAAGAAGCCATTCACAGACTACAGGTGACTAAGAAGTCTCAGCAGCAGTACAACACTGCCATAACAACCCATTTGGCTCATCACTTAGACACATGACTCAAGAAAAAGCACAAGAGCTACAACACTGGAATTAATGGAGTGTAATTAGCTGACTGAAGGTGCTAATTATAAGATAATTAAGATTATTACATTTTTGTGATTTTGTTATTTTACTGTTCTTTTCAAATTTGCTTTGGACTTATGTTTAGTTTGTTACTTTTGTCTCTTTACTGTACTATAGTACAGATATCACTGCATATGCATGATTACAGACTGTAGTCCATCTGTAGTACAAGAAAAATCAAGAAAAGACAAAAAAGGGCACATGGTGACCACTGATTAGCCATTTTTATGTGCACATGAAGGCTTTTAAAAGTACCGGTATCGGTATGTGGATACTAGTCTTGATATTACTTGGCATTGGAAATTCGGTGAGTGTCCCAGCACCCAGCGCTCTGTGTCTGAGGTGGCCGGAAGGGCGGCCTTTCTTTAAACTAGGGTGGCACTTGTTAACCCTGGCCACCCCTTGTTTCTGTCTTGGTAAAAACGGGTTGCAGGAGATAGAAAGAACTGCAGTTGAGTGAATAATATTGTGATTCTGTCCAGGAGCTGGAGATGCGTAACGTGGACCTGGAGCGGAGGGATGCAAAACGCCGAGCAAAGCCTGGCCTCCACGCTAGAGGATCGGGACCGCGTGGAGAACGAGGTCCAGAGGGTTATCCAGATCCTCGACGTCAAAATCTTCGACCTCAATGACCTCCGACAGAGCCTGGTCAAACTGCTGGAGAAATAGAGTGAGAGTGACCTTCTGACTGACCTGCAGGAGCTGAGTTGGAGAAGACAATGACGGTCCAGCCCTCAGCCTCAGCTCAATAGCCTGGCTCCGGAACATAGAGGGGCAGTCAATCAGGAGGCGCCACATTGCAGCACGTAGTGTAGCTATGCTTTTCAAGTAGAGAATGGAAGAGGCTAGGGTGTGCTAGTTACTACTTACACTTTTTTTCAGTTTTCTTTGCCGTTTTCTCTCGATTTTTCTGCAGTAAGTGGCAATTTCCGTTAACAGATTAGCAATAAGTCAATCTCAGTTTAAGTCAGTATTAAGTTAATAGTGACTGGGGGGAAAGTACTATTTTTGATACAGTGTGTGGAGCATGACCGTAGTGGAATTACAGAGCCAGACTAGAAATTTACATATTAAATTACATCTTTGACTTAATATGATGTAAACAATGAACAATTACACAGTAAGGATGGTAGAATTAATCAGTATCATGGTACTCTTTTAGAAGCCTTTCTTAAATAAATGGCACAGACTAACAAACAACTAACATGGAATAACACAACTGTCTATGGTTGAGCACAAGCTAAGCATATTGAATCTCTTTGAATACTTCATGAGATTCAAGTTTATATGTACTCATAAATTCAAGAGATTAATTTTAAGATTAATGAGTGAATGTACCACATGGATGCAGCTTCTTCGCTCAGAAGATAAGCAGTGCTAGAGCTGGAGACACGTGTATACCAAAGACTAGCAGAACGGTCACTGCTCTACTGAGGGCAGCACTGCTTGATTTGATTGCTTATTTGATGGAATGGGCTGTATTTAAAATAGCAGTGATCACACATTGGTGGGATGTGGAACCCAATAATGTTATGATGTCCCAGTAATGTCAATAATAATACAATTAGCACTTGATCTTGGTCAAAAACATAACTTGCCTAACATAATATTGGGAAATGAAGAGTGTATGAATAGTGTAAATAGTATTACCATACAAAAGTGTTATCATTTTGGGAAAAATGTATATTAAAATATAATAAATGACTGATAATTCAATAAGCTATTACACATGATCAACCTGAACATGTAATTAATTCCCAGCAATGCAAAACAGTATTACATTATCAGTAAAAATATTGTTATAGTATTACAATATTAAGAAAGTTATTGCATTGTTTTTGACAAAAACTCATGCAAAACTCATTTTATTACATAATTCAGAATTTCTTACATTATTGGGTTCACAATGATGCAGAACTTTCTAGTTGCATTTATAGAAACCTATTAGATATAAAATACGCAATTCATTTATCATTCTGACAGGTTCTTGTAGGTTAAGCTATAACTAAAGAAGTAATAGTTAAGTATAAGTTAAGAATCATTTCGCCATTCAGGAATGCAAGCTTTGGCTTGGATGGGTCTAGTATTCCAGTGACTTGCTTAGGCAGCTAGACAGTAGGGCTTCTATGCATTGTTGAGTTATGATGCCATAGGCCTTGTATGACCAAGGTTGCATGGTTGCGTATCGGTCGTAGCTTCAGAAAACCTATTCAGAGCCGTGCTTCATGTATTTGTAAACGTGAACTGTATGTGATGGTGAAATGGCTTTAAAATGTGGAGTAAAATGTTCTGTACCAGTGTTAGAGGGCCTGCAGCCAACACATACAAGATCTTAAGAGGATATAAACATTGCAAATGCAGGTTTCAAAGTAATAAATTAAGCTAACCTGCAGTTAACAATCATGTGCCACTTCAGTATCTGTAGGGGGTTTAATTATCCTCTCTAAGGGATACAGCTACCAATTCTCAGCAACATATCAGGACTTTCTGCAGCTTCGTGTTGATCAACGTCCTATTTGTAAGTTAAAGGCCTTATTTTGGTACAGGTGTAGAAGGTGCAAGTGCACATTTCCACAATGTCGCACTTATTTTTCATATTGTAGCCTGTGGTTCATAGCCAAGTGAATTTTTGTTGCTCTCTTGCAAACCTTACTTTAAACTGTGCACTACAAACAGTATTCAACATATAGAGGAATGTAAAATGCTGGCATATTATTTACAGTTTTACATTTTTATGCAGTTATTCTAAGGCAGTCATTCTGCTCTGGCCTTGAATAATATCAGTTAACACCTCTCAGTTAAGATACTAGTTTCTATGCTGAACCTGTGCACAGTTTCCATTAATTAAAAAAATAAATAAAAACTTTATGCTAACTTTAATTTGTGACTGGTGTGAATTTATCTTCCTTCTACCTATAAAGTAAAAACAGATCAGCAAATAAAGGAAATTAGACATTTCAGAATTGAAAATTCTTTTAATCTTTTATTTGTAATAAACAACCCCCTTGAATAACCAAGTTATTGAAGTGCATATTAGCGTTACAGTTTACTTCAGCTTCTTCTTGGGGCGTAGGTTATTGGTGTGTCCGCACTTCTTCTTACGGCAGTTGACGGCACGAGGGTGAAGACGTGCGTAACACCTGAAGATGGTATCCATCAACTGCTGGTGTGCAAACAAGAAACAAAAGACTACAGATTAACTTTGAATAGTAGTCAGGTTATGGATATGGAATAGATAAAATGCCTTGCATCTTATCTAGTCTATCACTGTGTTCAGAATAATTCACTCATTAACTCCTAGATCATCCATTATATAATCAACTGGGACTGATTTTGGGTGCAGTTTAAAGGGGTGGCGATAGGAACCAAACGACTGAGGAGTTTAATGCTTCTAAAAGCTCCCTCACAGAAAGTCATTACACAAAACATCTGTGAACATGCTGACTGATGCCTAAGACATTGTTCTACAATGGTTTTGAGATAAAAGTTTTGGCCTAAAACATCTTGTTAATCCGTTTAACACAAGCAGGGCACTGTAAGGCACAGCACAGATTTTTCACTATTTTTCCATCAAAAATACTTAATAAAAACTCAGAAGACAAGTGTAGGTTTACTGGTGGTTTTGCACAGTAAATGGCTATATTTGTGTTGTAGTTGTGTTGTGAACCCCTGGTTCCTATCACTACTATTGTAAAGAAATCCCTTCTCTACCACAGTCCAATTCATATTAAACCACTCTGAATGACTCTCACTCTGTTTACATCACAATGACTGAATTTGGCCAAATTCTGAAAAATCTGAGGAATTCCCCTTCAGCTCTAATCACTTGGTGCTAGTCCACCTTAAAATGGCACTGGGGCATACATGATTGGAGTATTTGTGACACAAAACCAGAAGATGCTTACTTGCGGCAGATCATCTTCTCACAGTTGTATTTCTGAGCCAGCTGCCTGAGGGAAGGCTCAATGATACCTCCTCTCAGACGCAGCACCAGGTGAAGAGTGGACTCTACAAATAGAAAAATAAACAGTTGGCTTTCAGTGACGCAATAATGCCTCTCACAAGCTCATCGTGACGTAGTAACGGATGAAAAGGTTCTTCCTAACAGCATCGGCTATAGTCAAACTTTTTAAACTGTCCAATTCTGTGGCTACTCACATACCACACAGTCTGCTAACAGTCCGTCAGTGAAAGATTTCCACCAAAGTTTTATCTGTTAACAGACAAAATGACCTACAAGAAAAAACACTCACCTTTCTGAATGTTATAATCTGACAGTGTGCGGCCATCCTCCAACTGTTTCCCAGCAAAAATCAGACGCTGTTGGTCAGGGGGGATGCCTGTGGAAACAAAAGTTCTATGTCAACTCAAAGCCTTCTAGGTAAGTGTATAAAAAGGTTATCTGAAACTGATACCTTACCTTCCTTGTCCTGAATCTTGGCTTTCACATTCTCGATGGTGTCGCTGGGCTCCACCTCGAGGGTGATGGTTTTCCCGGTCAACGTTTTCACGAAGATCTGCATTTTGCTGCACAGCAAAGTTAAAACGGGAGTAAGGAATTTACTTAAACAGACTAAGTTACACAAGCCTAACACGCAGCTGTGATTAAGCGTACAGAAAAAAGTAAAACGAGGCTAAAGTTGACTTCCTATTCGAATTTTCCCGTTCCACCTTAAATGGTGCAGTAACAATGTAACTGCTGCACTATTTAAGGTGGAACGGACAAATTCGAACAAGAAGCGGGCGAATAAGATGCGAACTCCAGCTTTGTAAAAGTAACGTTAAGTTTAAAAGCGTGGTAAAGCAGTTTTAAGCGAACTCACACTAGCTAGCTGCCAGAAGCGACACGTTGTGATGTATGTCATGAAATAGCATCTAACAGCTGTTAATGTTCTTCAGAGATTGAAGAGAACTGCTTATATGGGGTGACAGAGGTTTTAAGCGGGCCAAATTACATATATAAATGCAGTTGTGGTTTTTTTTCGCTAGCACGCTGCTAACACATGGCGTCTTTACACGATGAGCGGAGCGGTCAGTGAACTTAAGCTCCGTATCGCTCCAAAGTGCCTATAATACCCCACACAGTGTCACAGTAATTAACTAGAACGACCCGTAAAATATTTATTATCACATCCTGTGCTGAATAACCGTCAAATGTAAACTGTAATAAGAGTATTTTCTGCTACTTTATGGACTGAAAAGTCTCACCCACCCCGTCGCTGCTGGCCTCGGCGGAAAAAGACCGACGGCTGCTTTCCGCTTCACTGTTCGCTTTTCGGCTGCTGAAGACGTGTTTGCTGCCATCTGCTGCACTGGAGAGTAAATACAGCCAGACAGACTCTGTGAACTCAGATACCCAACGTTACATTTCCTATTCATTTTTTATTTATTGACAGTTATATTTGGTGGATCTGGCGGCTGTGTGAACATTTTCTTGTGTTCTTATGTTAAACTGTTCACGAAGCATAAGCTAAATAGTATTCAAACTATGCTTGAATACTAAAAAGATATGTTATGGGGTACGGAGGTAAAACTGACCAAAGTGATTGTAAGGTTAATTGTGGTAGCTAAAAATAATAATAAAAAAAATTCACCAATATCATGCCTTCAAGTTGAGTGTTTTTAAATCAAATAATCTGATATTGATCACGCTGTTGATGTTTTTCGTGCGACATCTACATCTACTGTCCGAATAATGTCATTGCAGGCGAATTGTTAGAATCCTATCTATTTTTCGTGCTGCGTTTGCTGTTGAAATGTGCAGGTTATGTATTTCTGTTTTTAATAATGTATGCTGGAGAGACGAAATTGTTGTCACCAAGGGCCAAAAAAGTTGTCGTCCCTGGGTGGGCTCGAACCACCAACCTTTCGGTTAACAGCCGAACGCGCTAACCGATTGCGCCACAGAGACATGGAGGCCAAACACGAAATGTATGTGTTTTCATGTCAATGTCTGGCTATATAAGTGGCCACGAGGGGGCGTCAAAACATTGGCATTGTTATTTTACTCTGTGAAATTCATTCCAGTCCCTGCAACCCATTTTGGTATTATCTCATAGCATCACTGAGAACTGTTTCAAAGCAATCTAAAATCAGTTTTGCTTGTTAAATTAAACATTTTCTTTTGATAAAATACATTTTTATATTTAAAATTATTTTATATACTTTATATACTTTTTATAAGATAATTCCTTACATGATAATCATATGATTTGTCAGTGTTAGCAGGATTGTTTATCCCAACTTTAACTGAAATAAAAGTAATAAAATCTTCAAATAATAGAGACCCTAGTTACTTTGTTACCATACTTGTCACAGTTCTTTCATACTGTATTTTATCATATTCATTATAAAATTAATACAGGATGAGCAACTTTCTAATGCGTTGTATTTTTTGCAAATCCAGATGTTAGCATCACATATGATCATATAATTTCAGAAAAACAATAGTTGATGATATTCTGATTATAAAGTAAAGATGCCTTTATTATCAGCCTGTGAAATCATCAAAATCATCGCTTTGGAGAGTGACTTTTTCTTACTCCTCCTGCAAAACTCTCCAAGTGTCGAGACAGAAGAGATTAAATTTTACCTGCCAGATCAGGTAAATGATTGAGAGACTGTTCCAAAGCATTCACTGTTACCTGATTCTGGAAGTATTTAACATTGACACTTGTTAGGAGACCAAGTACGGTGAGTAACAGCGGTCAGAAATAGTGGCACCTGCCTGGAACATCACAGAGATGTGCATTCAGAGAGAAGTGAGTTCTACTGAAGTCCAGAGAGGCCATATATAATTTTCTGGAGATCACAAGGCAAATAAGTTTTAATAGATAACAGTCCAGAAAATGATAACTAATTCGGCCTTGTAATTGTAATGTCCAATTGGGATGGAAATAAAATGCAAGTCTAGCATCTGTTAAAGAGAATGTGATGCACACATTAATACATTTGCAATAAATAAATAAAAAATAAATAAACATGTAAATAGTGATATACTTGCAAATTTGGGGTAATTAATAGCAAACTAATGGCTTCTGCATCAACAACTCTGCTACTGTCATCAACTTTACTACCTTGTGTATCCTGTATTATTAAGACAAGAAAAGTGAAGAAAATCTTGGAAAAAAAAGATTTTATCATCAGTTGAAAGGAAGATGAATTATCAAAGTGTGCCAAATCTCCTCTGCAAAGAGCCACTGTGGCTGCAGGTTTTCCTGCCAACCAAGCAGGAGCACACCTGATTAATTGTTTGAAGACTGAGACCAAAAGATTAAACAATGGAATCAGATGTGCTCAAAGTTGGTTAGAACAAAAACCTGCAGCCATATCAGCACTTTTTGAGTTATATTGGGCCTCCCTGAGTTACACATTCTGAATCAGTAAGCAAATTATTTCAAGAACAAGTTTTAAAATGAAGGTTCAACATGCTCAACACAGCTGTGATAACATTAGTAGTCTAAAAGTGCACAGAATTAAATAGCTACCGATTTTAATGTATTATGTTTGAATAAGTAGCAGTTGATTTGTAAGAGTATGAAAAGTTGTTTGAAAATACACTGGAATCACACTTAAATAACTGAGTGATAGTAACAGGGCTGACATTTTCCATGGCTTGTGTGACAAAACCGTGTAAAAATCCAACATTTAGGTGCCTGAAATGGCCTCCTAAATTTTTCTTAGCAACCTGTAAAGCAATGCAGGGCTTGATATGTAACGAATGTGAGTGATTATTTATTGTGTGGAGTTAAATGATTAGAATCAATTAACTATGTTTTACTAGAGCCTATAACCACCTCATCAATCACTAAATGATAAGTGCAGTGCGCAGTTATCAACGTTGCTTTGGTTTTGTTCCAGTGAGGAGACCCAGAGGGTGCAGTGTTTTAGAAATGAGTGAGACTGGGATTGTTTAGTTCATATATTTTGTAATACTTTACAAATAAAATACACAGATAGCCACAAGCGTAGCAGAAAGGTCATTTATACATACAAAGAAAAGGAATTTTCAATGAAGGCTCTTGAGCTGTGTTCTTCTCTGTCTGGGAGAATGTGTAAAATGGTAAAGAAACCAGTCTGTGTGTATTATTGATTGTTCTGTTAGAACAGTGCTTCTTAATCCTGCATTTTACAAACAGGTTTTTATAATCCGTAGTCATGTTGCACGGCTACAAACCGTTGTGCAACCACAAAACGCAGGATACGGACATACTGCAACTAAGTTTACCCAAAACACTGTGCCTTACTTAGGAAGTAAAAATGGCTCTAGTAGTAACAGTAACCTCTTTTAATAAATGATCTGTCTTTTACTAAATGATCTGAAAAAGCGCTTGACAGTGTTTCAGTGAAACCTAAGTTGCACTTAACATCTATTTTACATTAACAGGTGCTATCTGCTTTTGGGCATTCTACTGCATACATTAGCTCTCTGACTGGCCAAGTTGTTTAGAACACAACTAGAAGACATCATAGCCAGTTTGGAATCTAGGACAACTTTTCTCTTCTTCCAGGATGTCTGGTCCTCTCCCTCCTCTCCTTCATCTTCAGCCTCCTCTTCTGCCTCACTTTCATCATCACTGCGTTCGTCCTTCTCCAGCTGCAAGTGAAGAGGTAAAAGATCAGGGAGTTCAAAGTAGCATAAACATAAGCATAAACATAAACATAAACATAAACAAACCTTTCCCAGGAAGAGGAACTTGTAAATCATGCGCATTATGAGCCAGGCCCAGAAGATGTGCAGGGCTTGCAGTACTAGCAGCAGAGCGTTGAAAAAGTAGTAACCCATGAAGGGCTGAAACACCTCCATTGACAAGATCAGAGTGGTATAGATTATCCTAAGGAAAGGAAGAATTAAAACATAAGAAACCACTGAAATCCCAAAAAACTGAGAGCAAGTTATTTGTTGCCCTAAAAATGCAAACAGCTTTACAACAAAAAAAGCAACTACACACAGAAAAATTACCACCAACAAATAGTCTGATGCCATACATCAAAACATTTATCAGCAATACCCTAATATGCAATGTTTGTCTATAGATGGGCTTTTAATAAAACAAAATATGTAAAAAAGTTTAAAAATTGTATGTAATGTAGTAACATTGAAGTGTGGGCCCACATACAGGCTTGGGTTAAATATTAATTGATTAGTTGGTTTCTAGCACAAGCTAGTATGACAGAAGTCTTACTTGCTGGGGAACACAACCAGACGCGTCACCAGGAATACCACAGCAAAAACCACAAACAGTGAGTCACAAGTCTTTTTCCAGCTTGCATAGTTGAACATCTTTGCAGACTGTTGAGAGAGATAAAAAAATAGTTCATTTCAACTAAACCAAACTCTGTTTGACTCAACAAAGAAAAATAAAGTATCCAAATCCTAGTATCCAAAATAAGTCTGTTAGGAGTCCAAAGTAAATTTGGAGCTCATGAGCCAGTGAAAATTCCTACCTCCAGCAGGAAGTCTGAGGAGTCATGGACAAGCATCACCAAAGTGCCAATGCGGATGTAGTTCGCACAGTACGAGAACCCAAGCAGGAAAATAGTAGCAATGTGGTGAACAATCTGCTCTTTGAAATCCTAGAATACAACACAGCTTTGATTAGGCCTCAGTACTGAGGGAAGGGTGACATGTCGACTGAAATTATGTTTCAGGTGTATTAAAAACAATGCAACCGCTTACAAATTAATTTAATACCTTATTATATCATGTACTTTTACAAGATATTTTAAAACCCTGACTTAACTTATATTGATTAATAAATGTTTTTAAAATATTGATTTGAGACTTTAGGTATTTAACTAAAAAAAACAAAGGATGGCAACCAGAGCACTGATTCTTTATGCAATACACTGAAAGCACTGCTGACCAATACTCATTACAGGCAAGCTATTGTGCTAAATGCAGAGGACTTACTTACTTTTCTTTTGACGTCCACAGAGACGCAGAGGAGCAAGGACCAGTAGAAGCCCAACTCTATCATGTAATACCAATAGTGCACTTTCTCAAATGGCTACAAAAGGAGAAGCAAAAGGAGAATTATAAGGTAAGATATCTTTACACAGGAGCAACTGTACCACTAGCTTTATCATGATAACATTCAGGCTGAATACATTGAGCATTTTGGGTAAACTGGATAAGGTAAATACATTATTGCCTGAAAGAGTGTGCTGATGACCAAAAGCAAAAGCATTCTACCATTTTTCATATGCCTTGGGTGTGTATGTGTGCACATGCGTCTGTCCTGCCTTTCATGTGGGTGTGTGAGATCTTATCAATTTGTATAATGTACTACCTGAAACATGCGTATTAACAAAAACAACCCCTCTTCCCATTAGCCATATAATGCATATCACTGTCTGCACTGCAAAATCACGCCTTATCATGATTTCCACCAAAAGTGTTTGACTGGGCCTAGTGAGACTAATTTGCAATGCTAAATCTGTTGATAAAGTTTTAGCTAAACAATCCTATTCACAGACATGAAAACTCAAGTGCCAAGTTCCCTGTAGTGGGGTCCAGTGGCATAATTCCTAGGAAAAAACTGTATGTGATTTTAACACGGATATTCTGATGCATTCCTGTCTGTTCTGAGACTAAAATCCAGCGGTAATAGCTGTGGAATTATTTAGTTACTTGAGTTAAACAAGTCATGTAGGGACACAACATCTACATTAATATGCTGTTGGTCCTTCAAAAAAAAGTGGCACTTTCCCCATCGCTGCTGTCCAATGATCTTGTTCCCACCCTGTGCGACGTAATAAGCAAAATGGCTGCTGTGTAAATAAGGTGCATAGGTGTTCGCTGAATTCTGAACAGTAAATAAGCCTTTCGTACTGAATAAAGGAAATTTGTGATTTACATAAATACACACTTCGTTTTGTGCTGGCTTTTTCCTGACCAACAGCTTCAGAGCCTACACATGCAAATGCACAGAACAAATGCTTTTTGCCTCTCCCTCCGAAGCCAGAGCCCTTCTCCTTCTTTATGTGTGAACCTCTTAGTTGTGTGTGGCTGAGTGTGGGCGACAGGTAAGCAAACCTGTAACGGATATCCTCTCCAGCACTCCCTTTGGTCCCAAAACCAAGATGTCTGTGGGAAAACAGAATGTATGTCATCACAAATGTATAAGGAAATGAACAGGAGAGGGGGAGATCACAATGGCAGCAGTATCAAAATTCTCTATTCCTTTAAGTGTCTGAAAACAAAGGACAGTCACTGATGTGAAACCCCATATGGGTGTGTCTTCAAAGGAAAATGTACAAATTAACACTTGATCTTATTCAGAGACAAGCACAACTAAAGACTTGTCACACGTGCACCATCAAGCTATTACTGACATGAATTGTTTAGTTTTTTTTCTTTGCTAGTTTTTTCAGTCAAGAAGACCTAAACCATGATCAGATGAACACAATTCCCCCCTCACAACCAATGCAGGTTATCAGTCATCATATTTAGTCTCTGAAAGTAATGTAAGGTTATAGCCACTAGTTAGTTAACTGCACGGGTAAATCATGACACACTCACTTCAAACCGCGTTGTGACGGTTTGTGAGAAACCACATAAGCAAGTCCATTTGAGATTACTTAACAGCTCAACACAGTCTGATACAATTGTATGATGATTTAGGCAGGCTGTAACTCTAGAACTAGCACACAATCACACACATGTTTCTATTGAAATACTAAAATATTAAAAAATACTACAAAAAAATACTACAAGGAATGACTTACATTCATAAGACATGAAAGTCCAGCAGTGAACGATATTAGGTAGAAGACAAACCTCCAGCTACAAAACAAAAATGATGCCATGTTAGAGTTACATATTGTGACAATGACCTTGGCAGAACACAGTCATTTGAACACACAGTGCATATCACCAGGTATCATGTACCATCTACAGCACCACTGAGAGAACCCAAGTTCTTTAATGATTGTTATCAGAAAGATGTGAACTGATCTTAAGGATGCAGTCATGCTAATCACTGTTAGAGAATGTTAAGTGAGGGTATGATGGTAAAACCATTTGATTGAGAAAACATCTGTCAATGTAGGAGTTCTTTATGTTGAAGCAATAGAAAAATTGAATTCACAAAATGTTTCCCTTATCCCAAATAGAGTCGTTCAATCAAGATATGTTTGGTATCCAAAGTTTGGTACTTTGTTTTTGGCTTTGAGCTATGAGACTAATGTAGCTAGCATGTAAAATACTCCAACAATTAGCATCGTGCAAACAGCATGCCTAAATCACCAAACTGCATCAAATAGTAATTTGAGTAATAGTAGTCTCAAACAAGCTTGCTTCTGTGGTTTCTGACCCTGTATGGCATGCCTTTATCGATTAAAACAGACAAAACTACATCACGTTGGTAAGAGCAGTAGTATTGGCCATTTTGAAGCTTGCATTTTAACTGATCTTTTGTCTATTTTCAGTGATGTTTCATTTAACTGCTGCTTTAATGGACTTGTTCATTTATGCTAGTAGGTATGTGCTATTGAGAGTGAATGACCTGTGTTATTCACAGTAAACTCACCTTGCCTCACAGAACTTCTTGGTGTTGCTGGGCCTGTCCTGGTTTCTACGATGACGGAACCAGACCTCCACTTGTTTTTGGGTTAGGCCACTCTGTTTCACCAGACTGCTGACCTCACTCTGAATAACACAGATAAAGCAAAAACTGAAAGCTCGTTCAGTTCATGTGGGGTAACTCTTTGCTGTAATAACAGAAAAATTTACAGGTTTTACAAGTTTTAACATTGGCTTGGTGAGCTTTACAGCTTGCTGGTAGAGTGTTATCAAAACCACCATCAGGGTACCAGACTGTTAGGTTAAAAGCATTTTTGCTTGTGTGTTCTGTCAAAAACAGAGAAACAAGTACACAGTGAAAGGGGAAATATCTAGAGCTCAAAATCCTCAGACACATGAACAATCAGATGAGAGGAAGCATTAAGCTCACACAGTGCTTGTGCAGATCCTGTGATCTGCACATTATATACCATGACAAAATAACTTTTTAGACCAATGAAGTGCAGATCTGTGTGAAATATGTGTAGCCTCAGTGGTAGCCTCAGTTTAATTTGCATGAGTGTAGCTACTCCAGAAGTACTGAAAAAAACACAGGCTAAACATGCTTCTAAAGCACAATTAAGACTGACAGTTCAGAGGAGCTACTGCAGTAGAACTGAAAAAAGAAGTCAGGGAAATGCCCAAGTAAAAGAGGGAAACGTTTGTGTTATTTTACATGTATTTTGTATACATTTATCTACAACTGAGTGATATATTTGGGAATGCATACATATTGTAAGCTCCAACCAGCAGCAGTGATGCAGAGCAGTAAGCATTCCTCTAAAGCACATAAAGTCTTTTTAAACTGGTGCTGACACAATGCCATACAGCAGTACTGTAATGCAATATATTAAAAATGTACTGGTGAATCAGTAACGTGACATGGTTAAAGACTGACCAAAGTAATTTACTCTTATTGGATTACATACATACGCTGATTCATCAAAACAACCACAGACACACTCATCTGGAACCGTGATTGGTCAGAATGCTCACAGCACACAGAAAAACACTCTGACTGGTTAGAGGGCTCATTTGCATATTGCAGCCTTCTGTGAAATCAGTTGCAAAGGCCAATATCATGATAACAACTAACAAACAACATATTGTTTAGCTCTGGTGCCAATAGTGTAGTTATGCATACATGACCTTGATAACCACCAGTTTACCAGCAAAGATGAACTACATGATTGTCTTCTCAACCCCATCCCACCCACTTTGGTAACAATACCCACATTAGCACTATAGGAACAAGGCCTTGGGTGGCCCAACTCCTTATGAGTCACTAGGACTGTTTTAAGCTTTTTTAAGCCTTCGGCTCCACAACAAACTGTAACTAAGTGGATACAGCTCACTGTGAAGTGGTTGACTAACCAAAACAAATCTCCTATAACTGTTTGTAAAGTGACATGGATATTTTCCAGGAAGAAGTTATGTAAAATCATGAGAAGCACCCAGGACTTTACACACTTTGTTGATGAACAATATGCCTTTTGTGTTTGCATGCATCTTGTGTTTTCCCTCACCTGTGCTGGATGTCTGCTGTGTTTGGTGTAAAAGGCCTCCAGGCTTGGAGCAGGTGAGACTGATAAGCGCACTCTGTCTTTCACTCCTAACAGTTTGCTCAGAGGAACAGCCACAGTCCTAAATAACAAGAGAAGAGAAAACATCACAAATCACACATGGCATATGAGCTATTTGTTTTTATGGGCACCTAATTGATTAATAATAAACAGATCATTACTCTTGGTAGTAATAAAGTGTGCAAAAGTGTATTTGGAGATACGGGGGTTTTCACCTCCATCATATGTTATGAGGTTATATTCAAGGATTCACAGATATGGAATTTCTGGGCTGACAATGATATGCTGTGGCTATGAAACCAAAATTGATTATTAGGTCATTAATAATCATTCAATTTTTCAATTTATCTGCAAATAAAATATCTATCATGCATCCCTAGATTGAGTTTTTGAATGCGTAACGTTTTGTACGTTTTGACTGCAAATGTGTGCCAGTATGTGTGTGTGTGTGTGTGTGTGTGTGTGTGTGTGTGTGTGAGCCATTCATTAGACCCTGGAAGATGAGATGAGATCAAACATGGGTGAGAGGGGCAAATTCATCAGCTGACACCTCTGTCCTCTCAGGTTACTATAGCGATCAGCTGCCACAGCAACATACTCACATCCTACACACGTACACAGACATACACACACACACACACACATGTACACACACACTTACTGTACGCCTGCCTGCTGCTGTTTGTTGATTCAGTGTCCCTTCCCTCTTCCCTCACACTCTCCTCCCCTATACTCCCCAGAGCTCTGCCAGAATCACACAACCTGCAGACCCGCAGCTGCTCTCCACAAAGAGAACGGCTGCTGTTACACTGCAGCATATGGCTAGCGGCCAAAGCCAAACAAAGAGACTGATTTATTATGGTAACAAAATATCATATGTATAAAAATTAGAAACACTACACTCAAATGTACAGTCATTTACAAATGTCAACAGTCATCCTAATAAAATACACCTTCTAAATATAACACAGTGGTTAATATGCATAAGAGAATACTATATAAATTAATTGACTGAACTACAGGCTTATTATTCAGTTACCAATCTTTAAACATATAATTCAGTAACGACTCTAATACACTGCTGAGAAAATAATATGTGAGTAAACCTGAAAAATGAGCCCACTATATGGCCCTTGCAGTTTAAGAAGTTAAACTTTTGAAGTAGCGTTGATTTAAAACACTAATTGAAAGCTGACACACACACACATACACACACCCCTTGTGCACGCTTGGGGTTTTACACCATGGGGAGCCTTTAATCTTCTAAACACCCTGATGATTTTCTCACCTACCCATCAGTGCCTTAACAAAATAGTTTGGCACAAAATCAAATGTACTGTTTTCCCCTTACCCTAAATGTAATCATAAAACTACAATGCTGTGTAGTTACTGAGTAGTTTTTTTCCACAAATTTGTATTTCTATACATATATATCTGTATGTACAGCTTACGTGTTCTAATGTGAACCCACAGCAGTTTAAGGATCCGCAGTATCCCTACATTATGTAGTACAACGTGTAAAGATACAGGCATACAAGGCCAACCCAGTGTTTCCCACAAATAGGCTATACTTGGGCATTTCCCTAAAGCATACTGACAGCCATCCAAGTATATTTTGTCTCTTTTTTAGACTTTTACTTTCTAACCTCCAATTCTACCCACTAGTTAGGTCTCCCCCTATCACAGAATGCTACCAAGCTGAAAGGGTAAAAGCTAGCATAAGCTACCTCTGAGACGTGATGCGCCAGAACATCTTTCAAACTTCTGCTAACACAACATCAATGGACAGCTCAACACGCTTGGAGGAGAATGCTAACTGCCAAATCTGGTATAGTAATCAAAAGACAGCCGCGTTAGGTTATGTTTTTATAGCAAACATAAATAACTTGTTTGAATACCTAATTAAATAAAAAACTAAGAAGAATTTGGATATTACAAGGATGACAACAACCAAGTATTTTTTAATTACAGCATTATAGTGTGAACTAGTAAACTGACACACAAACAATATCATGGATGGAATACCAAAACATGTGAAATGCAAATCTGGATAGGACAGGACCAAATATTTATGGTAGGAATAATATTTTGTAACAAAAAAAAACTATAATTTACAAAAACTAACAAGCTGCAAGGAATCCTGGGTAGCTCCACCCTGTCACTACAATATTCAGAGACAGCCTGCTCAAGATTGCAAGCTACAATCCCTGTCCCAATATGCTTTGCAAATTACAGCTACATACTATAAAATCCAGCACTTTAACTTCTTTTCACAAGAAACTTGACTTTATTTTCCAGAATGCACAATTTTACAGCAATCTGCCGTATTTATGGAATACAGTAGACTACTGCAGTGTTTCCGCTGTAAATTTACACCAGTTCTTTACAGTGTAGTCATGCTGTCAAGAACTATTATGTTCAAAATACGCCTCTTCAGTTTTGCACCGGAGCTACAAAGCTAAGGCTGTGAACAAGTAATGAACGCTTATGACCACAAATTAGCATTGTGCAAACTGCTAAATCTCTCTGACACTGTATGACATATTCATGTCTATAAAAATGGACAAAAGGACACAAAAAAAGTGGCTGAAAGATAGTTGGCACTCCTGTTTTAGCTATACAAAATACTTTTGTCCATTTTAACAGATAACAGTGGACAATAGTTTGTACAGTGATAACTGGTAGGGTGTAAGAGCTGATTTGCTCACTATACCAGCCTCATAGCAAGCATGTCTTGGCTGACCAATGACATTTGGGGTAAGGGGGAAATTGTGTAGATGTGATTTTTTTCGCTGAATAAATCCTTTAAACACAGCTTTAGCTGAACTAAATCTCCTCGGTATCAAATGACCCTAGAATCCCTTCAAGCCATGTTAAAAGTGCTGTTACCTCTCAAAGGCGCAGCGCAGGGCGATAAAGCCCAAAGCCAGAGGCAGGGAGATGAGCAAATCCCTGGGGAGAGGAGAGTCCTCCATCTGGGCCATGTCCCTCCAGGTGATGCCTGGAGGAAGCCAGTACTCCTGCCTCCACAGCCACTCATTAAAGAGCTCCATACTGCAGCAGGGGAAAGAAGGGTGTAAGCAAACCTATCCACTAAAGCACGTCCTGGGGCAGAAAGAAGGACTACAACAAGAGGACACTGGAAAGAAAAATGCGTTGAAATAGCTAGAAATCTGTTAATTTCCACACCAATACAATGTTAAATCCACATTATATACTGTTACATTATTAAGACCAGTATGCCATGTTTGTTCTGTCGGGAGAAAAACCGTCGGATTTACCTCCCATTTACACGCATATGACTGTCAAAATAAGCTTACATTTCCAACAGAAATAAGCAACCAGCATCATGAGAGAACGAATATCCCTCGAATTTGATCTGATACGACATGCTATGGGAAGGTTAGCCTGGTTTACTAGCCTACAGGAACATTTCCTTCAGAGGATTTGACCGACGCACCACGAGCATGCTGTTAATATATGACGTATCCCGTGTATGGGGGTTCTACCACTATCTCACTAAGCTAGCGTAATTAGTATTTACAGACCCTCTTCTTCTCGCTTTTCTTCAGCCTTACACGACACCAATGTCTCCTGTCTGCCTTTTACAAAAATGAAGCTACGACAAGGCCACCCATATTCTCCCTCTCTGTCCCATTTAATTTGGTTTTCGTTATTTTTTCGACGCAGAAATGTTAGCATCCAGTATTTACCTGCTGTTGTGGTTGTAACGGTCGCTTCTTGATGTTCGCTCAGTTTTCTGACGAGGGTCGGGTCGGTGTGTGTGTGAGAGAGAGAGAGAGCTACGAACTGTCCGGCTGTGTTCAGTAGGCTGGTCTTTTCCCCTTCACACACCTGCTCTCCCCAGAGATTTCCATACAGTCGTATTAAGGAAAACTAAGGTGGAGTCCACACCACGTTAATGAACCGTTCAGCGGTCAGTTTAAATATCAGTTTCAGTCAGTTGGACATATTTCACGTTAAAACTGTCGCCGTCTGCGTCATTTGCGCGGGAAAGCAAAAATAAACGGATCCATATGAAAAATGTCGATGCCTATATCTTAATCCATCTAATGTCGAGCTGCATTCAGCTGTGATATAAAAATTTGAAAAAATATGTGTATGTCCTCCATAAAGGATGTTTCCTGCTTCCACTGCATCTGCCTCTCTCATTTGGGTTTTAAAGCTGGCTGGTTGATGTCCTGCTCATAACCTCAGTGGGTGTGCCATGATGTGTAAATGCGCACAGCAGCTAGACAAGGATGTGTTTCGGAGGTTTAGAGAGGGGTATCAGATAAAGCAGGTACACAAAAGCTTGGCGTTATTACCGAAAAGATGTATGCGGGTGATGGGGAAGAGCACGCACTGCTGTTCCTGCGCGTTTTTTATACTGAAGTGGCCTGATTGCAGGGCGTGTGGTCTGGTGAGTTTTCATGCTGCCATGGTTAAAACATTAACACCCCCTACACCTTGACCCCCAGCCATCTCCCAGGAGCTGGACCACCCCCACAGAAACATGCAGACGAGCTTTTATTGAGCGTCTGTTGCTGTGGTGCAGAAAGTGCGAGGGTCAAAGCATCAGGACGACATACATCTCTGGCAGCGATTCGATTCGAATACGATTGATTCAGTGAATCAATCAATGATTCGACGCGATTATTTTCTCATGATTTAGACTTTTTTCAAACACAGTGATTGCACAAATATAATTGGAGTAGTGGTGTAGATAATAGAAACAATACAACAACCTTTTTATATTTGAAAATTGTATTTTGGCTAAATAAAGGAGTGCATACTTTACTGGATCTGTTAATAATCGATTCAATTGCCACTTCATGATCCAATACACTAAGAAGTTGAACTCCACCAAACTATGCTCAGTCACTTCTACCTATAAGAGACTTCTACACCACATCTATCACTCACTGAAACTGTTACTTCCAAAACAATTTTTCTAATGAAGTCATCTCTGACTGTTTTCCCCACAAAGAGCCATGCCAGGCATCTGGTCCCCATTTTTGTGTGCAACTAGTTGTCGTCAATGTGAGTGGTATCTCATGTTTTATGCATGTGTGAACACTTCATCTGATCATGTTTTGTCCTTTGCTATTAGATGAATGAGGGATAAGAGTGAAAGCTCGTAATGCAGTGAGATACAATCATACTTTCTCTCCTCTCATTACATAGGTCCCATTCCTCTGTGCATTCCTGATGCTAGAACAGCATACATAGACTAGCCTTGGTGTGCCTGGGTGTGTTCAGTATGGATCATGTTGCACAGCTGTGACACAATAGTAGATTGCGTAGGCCAAAAGTGACATATTGTTTATAACATTCTAAAATTGAAAACATAGTTTTGTAAAAATCCAAACTATTAGCCTGTTAGCCTGAGAGCAAGTTGCCAAGGTGGATGCTAAACAAAGCCATGTTCTTCCATAGGGTCTTGTTTATTGTGGTTTTGGCTATTTTATTTCACGAAAAACAAATTGTAACTGCAAACATATATGCATTAGTGAGTAAAGAGCATGTGAGTTTATTTTACAGAGGAAATACAGAGCCAACATACAATCTGATCAAGTTTTGTGAATTGATTCAGAATCTTTTAAGAGAGACTCACAATGCATCTAATCAGTTATGGTTCCCACCCCTAGTTTTCTGCCACTGTGACTTCCTATAATCTATAAATGTACTTGATGCAGGCTACCTAAAACTAGAATTGGCTATCTTGAATCGTGAATTTTATCTATACCTTTGTCCATTATTGTCAGAAATCACACAAGTGAGTCTATTTGAGATTACATGAATACTCAGGTTGGTTTGAAACAGGTGCGTGATGATATAGGCATGCAGATTGCATGATGCTAATTGTGGGTCGATAAGCTTTCATTACTTGTTAGCTACATTCACCTTGTAGCTCCAGTGCAAAACTAATGAAACACCAAACATCTTGGCCGATAAACTACCTTTGGGATAAGCAAAAAATTGCGTCAGTTTGCTTTTTTTGCCAAACAATCGCTTTAAACAACATATCCGTGCTTTGCTTTGAAACCCGAGACTTGACCTCTTCTTCACAATAACTATTAATTAATGGCCTGTTTTTATATTTCTGCTAGAATACACTCAGCATGAAAGCAACCTTCACCTGAGATGGCCTCATATTTTCAATTTCCAAAATGCTGATCAGCTGCCCGCTATTATATTCAGAGATTTCCCACACACAACAGCCAAATGGATCTCAGCCAGTAGTCACTGCTGAGAGGCGAACCGGCTGTCCTGATTACCCAAAGGAACATGGGGCGTGAGCAACAGGAAATAATTTATTAATCTGGCTATTGATGATATAACCAGGAGAAAAAAATGAATGTGTATAACACACACACTGATAATCAATCTAATTTGTAAAATATTGATCTTAAGCAAGAGTAATGTGAAAAACCTAATTTTCACAGTTTTCCTTTTACACCAAATGTAGTCGATCAGCCAAGCCACGTTCAGTGTCCATAGTTGACGTCTTTAGTACTGCGCTGGAGCTATGGCTAATGTAACTAACATAATGGAAGCTTATATGCTACCATTTAGCATAATGCAGACTGCCTTTGTAATTACATGCTTTCCTCAAACTGTGTCGAGTTGTTAAGTAGTCTCAACTAGATTTGCATCCCAAAAGTGTTTGATGGGGTTGAGGTCAGGGCTCTGTGCGGGCTAGTCAAGTTCTTCTATACCAAACTCACCCAGCCCTGCCTTTATAGACCTTGCTTTGTGCACTGGGGCTCAGTCATGCTGGAACAGAAAAGGACCTTCCCCAAACTGTTCCCATAAAGTTGGAAGCATATAGTTGTCCAAAATGTCTTGGTCTGCTGAAGCATTAAGATTTCCCTTCACTGCAACTAAGAGGCCTAGGCCAACCGCTGCAAAATAACCCCATAGCATTATCTCTAACTCTTCCAAACTGTTGACACAATGCAGTCAGGCAGGTAACTTTCTCCTGGCATTCTCCAAACCCAGACTCGTCCATCAGACCGCCAGATAGAGAAGCATGATTCGTTGCTCCACAGAATATGTTTCCACTGTTCCAGAGTCCAGTGGCAGTGTGCTTTACACCACTCCTGCCTCCTCCGTTTGGCATTGTGCATTTTGATCTTACACTTGGTAGATCTTACACTTGGTAGATTACACTTGCTCAGCCATGAAAACCCATTTTCGGAAGCTCCTAAGGCGCAGTTCTTGTGCAGATGTTGCTTCCAGAGGCAATTTGGAACTGATTCATTGAATGAGTGATTCAACAGAGGATAGGCACTGTGTGCTTCAGCACTTCGTGGCCCCACTCTGTGAGTTTGCGTGGTCTACTGCTTTGTGGCTAAGCTGTCTGCTCCTAGATCTTTCCATTTCATAATAAAAGCGCTTACAGTTGACAGAGGCAGATCTAGTAGGACAGAAATTTCACAAACTGACTTGTGGCAGAGGTGGCATCCTACGACAGTGCTATGTTTGAGCTTATCAGTACGACCCATTCTACTGCCAGAGTTTGTCTATTGAGACTGCAAGGCCATGTGCTTCATTTTATCCACCCGTTAGCAATAATTAGATAATTAGAAGGTGTCCTAATGGTTTCTATGATTTTTTTCAGCACACACACATATACATATACATATGTGTGTGTGTGTGTGTGTGTGTGTGTGTGTGTGTGTGTGTGTGTGTGTGCTGAAAAAAAATAATAGAAACCATTTGTTTCACTGTTGTTGCTGAGTTTGTCCAATCTGCTTTATGCATATTATGCAGACAGTGGTAAATACCTTTTTTAAATATTGTCCTCAGATTTAAGTGTGCCAGTAACTACGGGTGTGGTAAGATTGAACTGTGCCTATAACTCCCCCCACATTATCTGTGTAAAGCCTTGCAGCTTGCAGAGGAGTTTTACAGGCCAGAGCTGTGCTCAGTGCAGCCAAGGCCTGTGGTTATTGTTCCTGTTAGCTGAGGCAGAACTCAGTGGAGTCTGGCTAATGACTGCAGGAGAGGCCTTGTACATTCTGCTCATTAAGCTTCATTGAAACTCACATGATAAATTATTACAATGAGATGATTCATCTCTGTTTTCTTACCTTTGACAACAGGGGGCTTTGTTCACTGCTCAGTTCTCTAATTGTATCTGTCGGGACATAGAGGGACACGGGTTAACAAATTAAGAAAACTTCATCTTAAATTCTTTTTCTTTCTGTTCCTCTGACTAACTGAATTTTAGTTAAAATTAACTAACACACTTTTCTTTCATTTTCTATTTGGTTCAGCAACTTGGATGACGAGACGCTTGGAATGTTTCAGTCAATAATGCTAGTATTAGTGTTAATGCTAATGTTGCTACAATGAAGGAATGTGCATAGCCACCAATTAACATTATGAAATGTTATGATATTATGCTGACTGGTGGCTTTTAGCTTCCCTTCATTGTTAGCAACATTAGCATGTTTGGTTCTGTTGTTCTTTTAACTGGTTTGTTTTCTCTTTACTGTAATTTAATGCCATTTGCAAAACAGAACTGGCTGCTAAGCCAATTGTACTGTGTGATCTGAACTCAACATTGTTACAAGATCATTTAATGCTTTAGTGCGCACAGTTAAATTTTGCAAAGTGAAGTCTATGATTACTATGAGGGACTTCCACCAGGAGAGGGTGCTAACAGTCATGATTTCAATATAAACAGTGCATTTCATTCAGAGGATGCTGTAATACATGCCGGAGTTGCACATTTTATTATATGGACCAGTTTCATGAACTGTGCAGAGCAACCAAGTCATCTAATTTGGTCTAGAAAAGTATAGAAAATGTTCTAGGCTATAGTTGAATGGAGCTTCTGTGATCTATACATGTTAGATAGTCTCGTAAATCCTGTTTTTCTGCAATATAGATTTTTAATTAGTTAATTTAATGTAATCATCAGCTCAAACTGTAAGGGTCTGCATGTGGGTCCATATTTTAATTACTCAGTCTCATAACTATAAAACTTGCATATGAGTTTCATAGTAGATACTGACTAATTCATAGTGGTTACTGAATAATAAATCTTAAGATGATCAACTGAATAATAAACCGAGGAGTTAATTGACTTTTCAGTATATGTTTTGTGTTCCTATGTGCAACAGTAAAAGTTTTGAT